ATATAGGTAGATTTATATTATTTTTTGAAAGTTATAAAATGATAACGTTTAATAGTTATTTTATTGATATTAATTTTATGTAAATTTGAATTGGTAAAAAAAAACTTAACCTAAAACTATACGTTTAAGTTATTTTTAGTTATAAATGTAAGACTTTATTTTGTAAATATTAGAATACATTTAAAAATGATATTAATATTATAGKACCTATATTATAAACTGGTTTTATTGCATTCATATTGATTATAATTATGATTAAAACATTACCGCTGGCCATTTGTTATTTGTTAGCCCAATTTATACAATTCCATTTAAAGTTCATTGACTTAATATTAATTACTTATACGTGTCTATAGTTCAATTATTAACATTATTGTACATTTTGGTAACCCGTCTTTGTAAACATAATTTGAGTTTAAAGTTTTTTTTTAAATAAACATTTTTGTTATTACATATTTACAAAATATGTTACAGATATATTATATTAGAACAATAAGTGAATGTGATGAAAAATGAAGTAAAGAAAAAATCATGTTTCTTAGAATAAAGAACCCTCCTRCTGGAAGAACTTAAATGTATGTTTAAACTTTAAAGTTAATGATTTATTATGATTTCTGGAATAATTGTAAGAATATATCATATTATAATAGTTGATAACAATAATATTAAAAAGAAAATAATATATTTTAATAACATCATAATTTTATTATGATAATAATTGTTCTATATTGGTTATCGTAGTGCGAAATAATAGGTACATTTAGTATTCAACATTTTATTGTTGTATAAATTATACTTAATCGATTAAGGAGTGGCATGGATATTTATTTATTTACATGATTTAAGAACTCAAAAATTATGTATTATTATTATGAATATTTGCTCTTTGCAATTACGTGCGCTGAATTTATTTTGTTCATTGCCATATTATAAYCAGAATATTGTCTCATGCTCCTTAGTTATGACTTATGACTGTAAGAAACTGGTTAGAATGTAACATTAATATCTTATCTTATAAGACTTTTATTTTTAGATTTATTGTAATGTTTTTGTTTTGTTTACTTAAGGAAATTTAAAAAAATTTTGTTGAGATTATTAGTTACCTAACCTATTTAGTATTTATTAAACATAAAAATACAAATCTTAAATTATGTATTTAGTAGCTTTACTACCTAAACCATTTATTATAAAAATACTTAACGTACCTACCATCACATATTTAAATGTCAATAAAAATATTAATTTTATTATATACACTTCWGTATTTATCGTATTTATCGTACTTACTCCGATAGATGTCTAGATCTGAACTAATAATCCACACTAGGCAATCAATTTCTTTTTCATGTAATATATGGAACAATTCATCATATTATACTTTCTGTAACATGTATAAAAATATTGTTATAACTGTTACGCCAWGATAATTGTATACCGTTAAGCTTTGACTGAAAACATTATGAAACAGTGAGGGCATTTTTATTGGAAAATTCCGTTAAACTCGATCGTGTGCAATGCCGTTTTCCTTGACTATTTTATGCAATTGTATTGTTTTGAACAAAACGCAGTTATAGATGAGTTCAGTATGAGTACTTACTTATGGGCATCGTGTGTGCGATAATATGATATGACGGACAGTAATATTATTATGTTGGAAATATTCTTGATGACGTCTTTGTTGGCTGTTTCCAGTCAATCAAATATTCAGTCTCAGCTATGGGTTGAAAAAATTTTGTCAGACGCTTTGGACGAATACACACCTGATGGAGGGACAGTGTGCAAACGTCATGGACTGGAGTATCGAGAAGGATTGAGAGACTTTAAACTGTGGGCGACCCAAAGTGAGCTTATTTATAAGTTTTGTTTTAATAGTATTCAATGTACGCTATACAATTAATTTACGTTTTAAAATATTAAGCTAAAGAAGAAAAAGAATTATATTTTTGAAAATAAATATGTAGTTTATATAACATTCCCCCAAAGAAACTATAACAGCTATAGTAACCAATGATATAATTTTTAAATTTWACAGGTAATTCCTCTTTTTTATAATATTATTAAATATTGAGTTCATATACGTTAATTATTGATTATATTTGGTTGATAATTATTATGTGTGCTTAAGTACCTACGCGTTGAGTCTTATATGGTAAAATGATTGTTGTGCCCATATAGTATATACATAATATATAATGCAAAATTAAAACATATAATAATTCCGGTCTCCGGACAATTAAGTATGGGCCAATAATTTGTATGTTGACCTATAATCGATAGTTACTCGAATAAAACGTTTGAGTAAATTATTATACAGGTATTTTATTATTATGTGAAGGGAGAAAATATAATTTAAATAATAAAATATAATATATATTGGATTTCCATAGACGAAATGGTGAGAATACTATAGCTTCTATATTTTTCTTTTATTAGAACTTGATATATCGTTCAATATTCACGAAACAGAAGTTGTTTACACAATTGTAAAGATTATTAGATAATTCATATAGAGTTGTATACTTGTGTAGTAATTAGTGGATGGTAGAAATAAAACTACATTAAAATAGTAAAACAATTTTTAATTTTTATAGCAAAAGATTAGTATTTATGTAATGAGTTGTTTCAATGAGTGTTCCTATTGATTTCCATTTATGTTAGGTATATGAAATAAAGTCAACAAAATGTTGACCGAACTGTCAACGGTATGTGGTAACTGTTAATTTTTCGTGTGGCACTTTATGGTGATTAGTCGAAGCCTAAAAGCCTAATTTGATTGTCAGTTTGGCACAATAATTTTTTTATGCTCTCTTAGGTTTCTGKCATAACAAACACTGTAATTTTATTATTGTTCTGTTATTCGTTTAAACATTTTTATCTTTTTTTTTATTTATATWWATCAGAATGAAATTTTAAAAATATTATAAAAARTATTTCTTTTTTCAGTGTATGACGCATCATCTAAATTTCCTACGAGGATCTTAGCTGGGAGATCTCTTGACTTTGGAAATTTCGATGGATGTTTAAAAACTGTTACTACCGGGTTGAAATTAAGTCCTCAATATTGTATTATAAGTATTCGTTTCTTACCTACTGCAAAATTGTATCCGAATTATTACAACATAACACCTAATCTAAATCCAACAGACTCTATGCGGGAATCTACAAAGGTTAGTTATCCATGTATAGATTCCAACTGTATAGTATTATGTTCGCGAAAGCTGAAATAATTAAAATTATGTAATATTTATTCAAACTTATATTACATTTAATATTATAATAATTTTATCACGTAATATTTAGTACACACAATCTTAATATTACCTAGGTATTTATAATTTCTTATGTAATTTATACATTGGTATGATAATATGATATTCACTTAGTATYAGCTAATTATTATGTTGATTGTTAATACCCGAATTAATAAAACAATATTAAAAATTTTAATTCTTTAAATATTTGTTTATTATTTAATATATTAAAATGTGTCAGTACATCACATGCTATTACAAATTTTTCTTCAAATAAAAATGCTACTATAATAATTATACCATTATATACATAAGTACTTATACGTATATGTTAAATTACAAAATATATCATTGAGCTACTGAAATCTAATAAAAATGATTCAACTAGGTATAATCAAAATTATTCTACTTAAAACTAAAAAAAATAGCTTTTTTATAAATTAATAAATAAGATTTTATTAATTCAATCATAAATTTCGTAATTTACCAACTTTTGAATAAAGAAGGATAACTTTTAACTACCAATAGTCTTGATTTTCTACTGCCCATGTTATTAGCTTAATACGTTTATATCCTATTTAGAATAATTCCAGTTTGATAAAAATACAATATAACGAAATCAATACAGCACTCTGTATACCTTCATCATGTTCACATTCAGATATACAGACAACATTATCACCTAAAATAATTTCTACATTTCATAAACATCAACTTACGACCACTGTTACTGTGGATTCACTTTATTGTACTACTCAACAGGAACTCCAACCTCCTAAGTTATTGGGATATCGAATATTTTGGTAAGACATATTAAAAAAAATATATATATATATATATAATTTAATTATGTTTAAAAATATATAAACAGCAGATATATTCTAGCTTAATTTCCTAATATAATGCTATTTTTAAATTACATAATAACATCAAAAATTAAAAATATCAGTATTTACTTAATTTTCTCAAACACTACGAAATTAATTTAACTCAATAGTTTTGACAATTGGTAAAACAGAAACTAATACAAAAATGTAAATGATGATAAAATTAAGCTAACTGTTATTTTTTTATTGATATTGAATTAAATTTA